TTCTGCCGCAATCGCTAGAGCCGATAACATAAAATTATAAAAACTTGGTATGACTAGCACCACGAAGGAGATGCTTCACAACGAAAGGTAGGCGTCAAGCCTCACTCGATTTCCACCCAGGCCTACCAGGCCTTCAACCTTCCCGAAACGGGTTGGTTGGCACGAGACTATTCTGTGAAAATGAAAACATGACTAGCGGAGCCTCGAGAGTTACTACATAGACCAAATCGTAGTCGAACTACAATTCTGACTTAAGAACGGGGCGTGTGGCATCCCTTGTTTCAACTTCTGAATTTTAGGTAGAAGTGAAATGAACGAAATCCTCAGTCTTCCTGCCTTGTTTTGAGCACTATGATTGGTCAGATTGGTCAACAATTAACATCGAGAAGACAACCAGATTTACACAGAAATCGAAGATTAGGCACTCCAATACATCATGCGGTTTTCTGGGGACCTTCAAAACAGGAAGCTTACAAATGGATTCCACGGGAAGTAAAATGAACTCAAGAAAAACCACGCCTACGGTCTCATTCAAAGAGATATAAGACGTTGGCCTCCTTTGAGCTGAGAAGATCCACTGGAGTAATTCTTGTAGGCAAAAAGAAGGTATAGGGTATTGATGGCACCCGCTCAAGAATTCGGAACAACGCGACGAAAGATGATACAGGTGATACGACGATGATAAAGCGGAGATGTTGAGGACGACAAGTGATTGAAACCAATGCTACACCGGACCTTTAAAAAACACTGCATGACAAGAAACCCTGAACACAAGTCAGTTTCCGTGAAAAGGGTGAAGGTTTAGAAAAACACCTGGTGAAGGAAACGTTTTTCTACTATATTTCTATGACAAAGAGGTACAATCAAGCAATAAACGAACCTCCTCGTTGACGCTCCAAAATGAAACGGCACGCCAATATCAACGAACACCACTTTCAGAGGTTCAAGACGTATGTTTCCCAAAAACGTTCCATGACCTAAACCATTCCAATAGGATTTTGATACAAAAGTTATATACCGCTTAATAAGCGGTGTTAAGAGGCGTTGCAACTGATTTTGCGGCATTTTTACGCTTCACACGTAGCCAGCTGTCCGATACCAACAGCTTTTTTCTAACTGATGTATTCCACACCAATATAAATTTCCCCAAGAACAATGCTATTATTGATTGTGCAGAAGCATTTCACACTTCGAACCGGCGTTACACTAACACGTTAAAATGGTTACCGAAAAAATGCCCGCGCGTGGAATCAAACCCACTCTAAAGTACACTTCAATGACATGTTCTCTAAAAGACATTGGTTTTGCATACGACATCAGGTATTCTTGAATAATGCTAATGAGCAGCGGTCAGAGGTCGCGGGCGCACCAAACCCCGAATTCTGTTTTCTTACGGAAACAATAATGTGCCTTTTCAATCTACGATGATTACACGGTAGTTTCCTCACCCACAAATTCCTACCGAATCGATCCTTTTAATTACCCACAACTTGACGAGGGATCGTCCATATTCTCCGATCCAAAGATCCATAGAATGCAAATTGCCCCAATTTTTTTCATATTTGGAGCATAAAAACCGTGAGATGATATGCGTGCATCGTCTAATTCTCCCCAAATGTTCAAAAACAGGATGGTTCGATAAAACTGAATAAAAGAGATCCCGCAAAACTCACTGCTTTAGCATGATGCATGTTCCACCAGCAAAATCGACCTGCTTGGGATTCCGACCGAAATAGTATGCTCGCTTTTCGTCTACCATTAGCTTCTGAAATGATCATAATATTATAACAAAAGTGGCAAGTGCACAAGCTCTTTTCAAATTGGAATTTTCAAATTCCATAGATCGTCGACAATCGCCTTTAATTTGCATAAGCAAACAAAACTTAAAGACTTCGGCAGAAAGTCCCTCGCTAAAAAATTGATGGATGAAAAGCAGGCGAGCTAGATAAGCGAAAAAACACGTGGAGCACCACCCCTGTGGATGGGAAAAGCCAACTACTTGCATGGACGACACGAACAGTTCTGGTGGAGTAGTTACTGGCGGTTGTAATTCTTTTTTATTCATTTCCCACTTCCTTGGGCGTCAGCGCAATCTCCTACACCATGTCACCCCAACCTCAGGCTTATCTCCACCTAGATTAAAGGCATGCCCCAGGATCACATTGGTGTGGCTCTTGCACACGAATGCGAATGTATTGGTGCGAAATGGGCCGGCAGTAAAGAAAAAAGGAAAAGAATCCGTCAAAAACGCTTAGGTTAAGGGCTCACCTTCCTAATCGGCTGTGCTAAGGGAATGAGAGACTAAGCGCGGAGAGGAGAGTATGAGGCGAGAGAGCGCCAGACAACACCTGATAATAAAGGATAAAGGATAAAGCATTTGCCGTTGATCAATCCCTTTTTGGGATGCGGCACGCATTCTACTTCCATTTGTACATTCGTAGTGGCGTTTGAATGCGATGTGGCCTATACAATGACTTGCGGGGGCCAGCCGATGTACAAGTCAGTTTTTATCCTCCCAGACAAGTCTGGTACCAATTAACCGACCCCGGAGGGATGGAAG